ATTCTGCCGAAACGTTGCTACAACTTTAAAAGCACAACTATAATGACGTGGGAAAATACCCGAACAAGGCTGAATACCATACATACATACATACATACATACATACATACATACATATACATACATGCATGCATGCATACATACATACATATATAAGTTTGGTGTAATGTTAAGGCATCAGGTTAGAACTGTGACTTCTAGTTCCACCTTAGGTACAAAGCCAGCTCGATAAATTTGGGACAATCACTTTCTCTCAGGCTTAGGCAATACAGAATACCAGAGTTGGAAGGACCTTGGAAATCTTCTAGTTCAACCCCCTACTCAAGCAGGAGTGTTTTGTGTAGTGGTTAAGGCACTAGGCTAGAAAATCATGAGTTCTAGTCTAACCTTAGGCACAGTTGGGTGATTTTGGACAATTCATTTTCTCTGAGCTCAAGGAAGAAGGCAATGGCAAATCACTTCCAAAAATCTTGACAAGGATAGTGCAGACACTAGGCAGATACCGGGAGTAAAGACTCACTGAAAGGCATGCACACATGCACTCACACATACACACACACACACACACACACGAAAAAACTTTGAAAGAAGTTTTCCTTTCTCTGCCCTTTTTGGTAGGATTCCACCTCCCCTTCTCTGAACCCTTTAATATTGAAGCAGTAATAGTATGGGACTGTCCAGGAATTAGCACCTTCACAGGTAGCAGTACAGCTTTGTTGAAAAGACATCAGAGCCTCTTGTGCGTTCTTTGGAGTGCCAAGTCTACTGGTAGCCTGCAGGTAAAGTGCTACTCTGCACTAGAATAGTGTACGCAGTCCTTAGGTTATGACAACAATCGGGACCAAGAATTCTATTGTTAAGTGATGTAGTCATAAAGTATAACCAACATAATATGTCCAACATTGCTAAGTCCCAGTTGCTACCCATGTTTTCCCAAAAACAAGGCCCTGTCTTACATTATTTTGCCACCCCAAAATGCATCCGGTCTTATTTTGGGGGGATGTTGTCCACTGACTCACCTTACTTGCACATGTCACCCCTGGCCTCCTTTTCTCTGTCAGAGGCCTTCATGAACTTCTTCTTCTGCAGCTGGTAAGGCTGGCAAGGTTTTCCTGAAGGCCTCTGCAGCCGATAACAGAGCTCCAAAGCTCTGTTATTGACTGCAGAGGCCTTCAGGAAAGCCTTGCTGGCCTTGCCAGCTGCAGAAGAAATGGGCCGGCAAGGCAGGTGTCAGGATGTGCGAGGCCTAGCTGCAACTGTCCGAAGGTAAGTAGCAGAGCAGCTCCACCCACCCATCCCCACCCTAGCTTAATTTTTACCCGTGGGCGGGGTCTTAATTAGGGCTTATTTTGGGGGGGTAGGGCTTATATTGGGTGCATGTATAAAAATCAAGCTAGGACTTATCTTTGTGATAGGTTGTATTTTTGGGAAAACACAATATTGTAAAATGAGGACTACATTGGTCATTAAGTAAAGACACGATCACAACTTCTGAGTTCCTGCCAGCATTCCCATTGATTTGTTTCTGGGAAGTTGGCAGGGAATGTTGAAAACTGGAACACTATAACAGCCAAAGGAGTGAGGATTCATCATAAGTCAGCTTCATTCAGAGCCATTATAACTTTGAATGGTCACTGAATAAACAAATGATTGTTACCCAAGGACTACTTGTAAGTGGAGTATAATCTAACACAAGCATTCCCATGGTCAAAGCTTTATGAATATGTACTACAGGAGAAAAAATCTCTCATGTTTTCTACTTCAGGTAACAGAGTTTGGCATAAGGTCTCCAAGACACAAATCAAGGTCAGGTTTTATGTCATACTAGACCACCCTCACGTTCCTCAATGGTTAAACAAGAACTCCAGAGAATACAGTAACACTAGCAGCGGCAAGACAAATAGTCTCGTTCTGATCCATTTGCTTAGTTTTCCACTGCCTTCACAATGTAAGTGTTAACTTAGGTTCATCCATTCACTTTCCCAGGGCTATGTATGTGACTCAGTGAATCTTATGCATGATATGAAACATAAAACATAAGCAGATGGATTTTCCTTTGTTCAGAGGTAGGTGATATATTGTACACAGCTTTTCCCTTCACAAAATCCAGCACCATAGGGGGATTACAAAAGAAACCTAATGAAGAGCCTTTCCACTAGTTTTGCAACCGTAGTTGAACAGATACATGTAATTCCTGAAAATGCTGATCGGCTGTCACAGTGGTGCCAAACAACTTGAAATTACAGATTCTTCTATGAAAGTCCAGAATGACAAGTGAGGCTGTAAAATCCAGCTTGTTGAAATAACATAAGAAAATCATGGTTCCAAGGAATTTTAAACTTGAAAAAATAATACAACAGAAGAACAGTAGAACAAGAACAGCCTTGTTGACTAGCTAAGCAATGGATGGAAATGTTCAAATCTCACCTCTGTCATGAACCTACAAAGAAAGACACACCTTCTCTGCCATCACCTGTGCCCATATAAGGAATCATTATCAACTGCCCCATTGAAAAAAAATCCAAGGCAATGCATGTGCTCAATGCAGAGATGCTAAGAATAATTGTTACGAAATGGTAAAAGCTTAGTGTTGTACATTTGTGAAGAATTAATTGATCCATTCTATCATTTTAACTAAAGAATCAATTTATCAGTCAGTTAAATGTCAATAAAACTATTCATAGAGCTTTCCAAATAAAAAATGCTTATTTATTTATTCTATTATCTGCTATTCAGTACCACTTCAGTCTGTATGGTTTCTCTAGCGAAGGTTAGACAAAAATAAGTCTTGCCGATCCAAGGCCAAGAAAACCTGAAAAACTGCAGCTTACTCATAAATACTCAACTTAATGATATTGAGGAAGGGCAAACTAATTATCTCTTTCCTTGTCAAGCTGGAAGAAATTACTTGAACCTACTAAATTATTTTCTTCCTCCCCTCTCTACTAGTCAAGGTGGCATGGGGGTGGGGCAGATAGGAAGAATGGAGCCATAAGCTACTGTTTGGAGGAAAGATACATTATTGACATTCTGGAAAGATATTTTTAATATTTGGTTTCATTAACTGCACAAGCTTAAACATGTCTTCTTAATAGGCCCACTGAATTCAGCTAGGCATATTTCTAGCCAGAAAGTGAGTACAAGAATGCAATTTAAATATTGCAGCCTTCTAAAAGCATGCATTAGATCAGAAGATGAATGAAGGTCAGTTTGGTAATGTATGCAGTTTGGCTACAATCCCACAATGAGATGTGCATACAGGCCCTTCAATTGTAGGAATCCAAGCCAAATCCTAGCTTTTCCATTTAACATTTAGCCCAGTAGTTCCTTAGGTCACTGGAGGAAGTTCTATTAGGTGGGGATAATGTAGAAGCCAGTAAAGCAAAAAGGCCAGCCCAGGTGATGGTTAACTGAAACACAGTTTATTCAGCCCTATTCCCTAGGTTCTTTTAATTGACTGAACCCTCACAGGATGGAGGTCACCCAACATGATAAGTTAAAGTACGGTTTGCCAGTTGGTGATTAAACGTATTAGGCAAATCAGGTGGAAACTCCAAACCACTTCTTTCCTGCTGTTCTTCATGAAGACCTCCCGGGAATATTTCTGCGGAAAAAAAGCCCATTATTGGGACCGGTGACGGAGCCGGAGCAGGTAATGGGGCTGGCACAGGAGAACTTCGGGGAAAGGAAAGGAAGAACCGCGGAGCCCGCTCGCCGGTCCCGACTCGGCCAGCAGAGCAGCCTACAAGCAGAGCAACCTGCAGCCTACAAGTGAAGGCTCCCGCAACGCCCCTTTCCTGGCTGCAGACCGGAGTCGTGATAGAATGGCACCTGCCAGGTAGGGTGGCGGAGGAGGAAAGAACCCGAGGACCACCCCAAAGACTGTGGAGGCAGGGACAGCTCTCCCCACCCCTTTGCTTTGGGAAAAGGGCGAACGATCCCGCAAATCGACGACGACGCCCCCTCCCCCGAACCCAACCCAGAAACCCGAGCAGCTCGATTCCTTTCATCCGAAGGACAGAAAGCGCGGCACTTCACGAGGGAAGAAGCCCCCAGGCGGGATTCCCCCCCCCCCGTCACCGAACCCGCAGGCAGGTAGGGCCGCAGCAGAGCACCTCCACGCCGCCCGGGCCGCTTGTTGGTTTCTTTCGCAGCCGCCGGAGTCCCTTCTTCTCCCCGCTCCGCGACCCCGCAGGTCCACTTCCCCCCCCCCTCCCCGCTTCTTCTCACTCACCGGCTGCGGCGTCTGAGCGGCCAGCCCGCTGGCCTGCCCGGGCGCACGCGAGCAGCAGGAGCCCCAGCAGCGAGGCCAGGAGGCACAGCTGCCCCGCGCGCAGCCCCTTCCTGCGCCGCCAAGCTTGGCCCCTCTTCGGCGGCAGCATCTCCACGGACGGCGCGGTGCAGAGCGCCACGAAAGGATGCCCGGCGCCGGCTCCCCGAGCGAGGCAAGAAGCCCGGGCAGCCTTCTCGGCCGTCAGGGAACGAGCCGAGCCGAGCCGAGCCGCTCACGCCGAACCGCTTCCGAGTGCTGTTGCCCGGAGGGCGCGCGGCTGCTCGGCGAGGGCGAGGCGCTGCGCCATAGGCAGGGCTCCCCGGCTGGCGGCTGCTAAGCTTAGCGCTCTAGCCGGCCTGGCAGCGGCGGAGAACCGTCGATCGGGGAGCCCCTTCTCGCCGATCGACTCCGCCCCCTCCTCGAGGGCGGGGGCGTTTTCGGGGCCGTCCCGCCTGCTGTCGCCGCCTCTTCCAGCGAATCCCGTTCTTGAGGGAACCGGTGGACCCGATGGGGAGTCCACGCCCCGCTGCCGCCGCCAGAGCCCGCTCCAATCCCCCCTCCCCCCACAATGGTCCAGCCTGGAAAGCTTCGCGTGCCCAGCGACCTCTGTCTCTACGCAAAACCTGGGGGTGGTGGGGGGGAGGAGGTTTGGGCAAATTCTCCACGGCTCCAGCCCGTAAATAGGGCGCGGTTTCATTTGTCTCCGGGTTTCGCTTCAATGTCTGCTGAAGGCAGCAAAAAGTAACCCTGAGCATGTGCAGAGTACTTGACCCCGATCATTGAAGGATGGCAAATGTTAGGTGGCTTGATTTATTTACTTATTTATTTATTTCACCAACATCTGTTGAGAAAGGTGGGTGAATATGTGAACTCAACTGACATGGAAGAAAGGATCGGACTTGGGGGAGGGGGGAGCTGAATTAAGACGTGGATGGAGGTAAGGATGTGGCATCCTGTCTGCAGTATTAGGTCATAGCTCATTCCTACATAAGAGTCATCAGACAGTCCTCTCAAATTATCTTGCCTGAACCAACTCTAAGGTAGGATGCCTGGTCCCTAAACAAAGTGTGATAAATATGGCTTCCAAAGAAGGAAGAATTCTGCTCCCGCCTTTCCCCCCCTCTTTTAGGAAAAGGACTGTGGTTTAACTTTTGCATACCAACCCCAATAATTCTATTCCTCTTCCCAGGTCATCTTCTTTGTTTGGGTTTAAAGCAATTTACTCACCTAAATGTAGTAAAGATTCTTGGGATTATTTTACAACTCCACCTTGGCCTAATAAAGTTCTTGCTTTAAGATGTATTTGTGATTAAAAAGTGAGGATGTTGTTTTCATTTTGTTGCCAGGCTCGTTCAGCTTGCATAAACAACACAAGCAGTGAGGTGAGATCACCAGCAGCATGTGAGATCCAAGAGGAATGCCTAGGAATCCTTTGCTGTGTCACACACAGAATACCAAAAGCACCACTTCTAGCATGCACACAGATCTTACTCCCTGACATTATTTTCGTGCCGCTGTAAGGGAAAGTGAGGCTGGAGAGTGTGAGATGGGGGGTTCCTATCTCTCTGTTTGTCTGCTCAAATGGTTTGATCTGATCCATCTGCAACAGAAGATGACTTCCACAGAAATCCCTTGGGAATATAACAGACATGGTTGAATGGCACAGATAGTGACACAAAGATGACTACTAGCTATAAAACGGAAATTTGTTTCTTTGAAATAATTGGCAACAACAGAATTATCTTTCCCCTGAGAAAGTTGGTGGTAATTGACCAGACAGGAGTAGAGGGAGAGATTTCTATTACCAAAAGAAATTGAGGTAAAGCAGTAAATTGCTGTAATGGTTTACAAAAACACAAAAGTTTATCCCTTAAAGGTTCTTCTAAATACTTAAAAGCACATTTCTTCTCAGAGGCTCTCCATAATGAAAATACACCATTATAAACCAGGCTTTGCCCACATATGGTTAAAAAATGTCCTCAGAATATTCAGGATTACATTTACATTAATAAATGACATGGAATCACCATTGAAAGCCAACTATCTGACATTAAAATAATCATTCAAAGATAATTGGTGGAATAATTTTTCCCTGGGTGGAACAGAGGACAGATCCATGCAGATGGAATAATTGCTAGAACACATGGGTTCTCGGCCTGAAAAAAATGAAAGTATATACATATTTTTAAAAATATATACAACAGTGACAGAAAAATTACAAAAATGCATTCAAGTGTGACTGGAAATGCTGCCAGTGACCTTCATCAGAGACTTTTTGCTATTGCATAAATAGCTCCCAAAGAGCATAAATAGCTCCCAATGGACTTTCAAAGAGAGACACCTCTGCCTGTACCTTAGCATTACAAAGACATGTCAATAAAAAGGGTTTTAATTCCCCTGTTTCAGTATTCAAGCCTGCAGTAATCCTGCTGTGTCAGTGGCAGGTATTGCTAATCATCATAGGCTTTTAAGTAATGGTATTTCAAATTGGAAACATTGCAATTTTAGTTTTCAGCAGCCATTCCGATCTTGCCAGAAATGCTACAGGTTTGTACCAACAACTGTCTGGACAGTGTCAAGTAAGGTCATAATGCCCTATTTTCACATCAGAAATGTTTCGTGCATTTCTACTTTTAAGTTCCCTTCTGCACTGAAAATTCTTAATACAGATAGCCCCCAACTTACAATCACAATGAAGACCAGAATTTATTCAAGGCAGTTAAATGAGTTGCACCCAATGATTGTTAAAAGAACCACTGCAGTTGTTAAGTGAATCATGCAGTTGTTAAACAAATCTGGCTTTCCACTATTAATTTTGCTTGTCAGAAGCCCTTCGGAAAGGTTGCAAATGGTGATCACATGAGCCTGGGATGTTGCAACTGTCATAAATACATGCTGGTTGACATGCACACAAATTTTGACCAAATGACCATGCTACAACAGTCATAAGTGCAAAGACTGGTTGTAATTAACTTTTTAGTGATGTTGTAACTTCGCAGAGTCATTAAGCAAATGCTTGTAAGTCAAGGACTACCTGTATGTCATGAAATCTGCCAACATAAAGATTTTCCTGTACCTTTAAATGGTTGTACACTACCAATGACTACAGTATCCTTGTGGATAAATTGCCTAAGTTGGTTATTAGACAGACTTCATGCCTCCTTGGATAGGTGACTTCAAAAGCTGGTACAGTGTGACAATTGCTCCATAGTATGGCAGTTGTACTGCAAAGTTGCACAGGACTCTTTTTTTTTATCGTTTCTGGTGTTTAACATTTTCAATAAAGCTATTTCAAGAGAAATCCAAGATGTGAAATGAAAATGGGACTGACAGCCATCTAACTCACGTGAGGCAGAAAATGTTCTGATCAGTGGCTGGGTGCAGCAATGAACTAGTTGACTTGAAGCTCCATAAACCTCAAATACTCTGCCCAAGTGTGTGCATTAAAGCTGCTCTGAAGGGCTTTTTATTAAGCGTGTGCTTTTGATTCTCAGAAAAACTCAAATCTATGGGTTAATGCAATTCAAAATAGATATTTATTAAGATAATTGAAAGATCTTATTTATTTCTGATCCTATTTAGGATCCTCCATGAAGCATACAGTAAGTCTTTTGATGCTGCCCTGGAAATCTGTCGTGCTACAATTTGCTATCATGACTGCCAACATCAAAAATTAAATCAAAAAGTAGAGAGGGAGAATTGAAAAAGCAACTGATGGTTGCTTATGAAAAAATTCCTTGACTGGGGATGGGTAGGAAAGAGGAATATGGGATTTCATGATTAATAAGCTTGTTTGCAACCGAGAATGCCTTTGTTGTCAGACCACTATTGGTCACTCCTTTCCAAGCTTTTGAGACAACACTTTTTAGCACTGAAGGGAAGTCCAAGTGGCTGGCCAGCTGTAACTGAGGGGGTACAGAGCAGGATATTTCTATGACATTGTTCTCAAAAAGAGCTTTGAGGAGGTTGCAGAACTGACCTCAACAAGCATTTTAATAGGAGGAGATGAAGAGCAACACTGAATTTAGAATCCTCATGCTGAATCCTGACCTGAGTGCAGTCTTACTTGGGAAGCCCCAGAGTTATTATACTGCAATCATAAAGATATATTTTAAAGAAAGTAATAACAATTCCCCCCTCCTTACACAAACAGACAGCTTTATTCTCCCTCTCACTAGATATTTAGAGCCATCATCGATCATCCTGTGGAAATACTTTCCATAAATTTAAGCTTTCTCTGAACTGAGATGGCTGTCATGAAAACAGCTGTGGCTGCATTGTAGTTACTGGATCTTGACCGCTTTCTTGGTTACTCCCAAAGGGTTTATTAGCATTATTGCTGTTCTGTAAGAAGAATTCTCCCAGCAACAAGAGAATTCTCTTTTCTTGAATTAAATCCAGAGCTGGAAACAAGTTGGACCAGTTTATCCCCCAATTAATCAGAGGAAGGATTGGGGTTGGAGTTCAAAACTGGCCAGTAACTAAGCACAGCCTAGTTTATATTTTAAGTTTAATGTGGTACTATCTTTGCAAATTTCAAAACGAAAAGTTAAACTTATTTCAGATTGAGCAAATCTGAAATAAGGTATCAAGATATCATAGAACTGACTTAACTTACTATATTATATTTATGTTCTCCTATGCCACTGACTGTTTCTGGCACAAATTCCTATGAGGGAGATGAGTGATTAAGAAATAGGAAATGTAAATAAATAATAAAATAATGTCATTAGCCTATAAAACTGTTAGAATCTACGGATCACTTTATCTCACTGTTTAACAAGCAGTGTCTGAAAAGTATCAGAGGCAAGATGGCCTTGCAAAAAATAAAATCTTTGCCAAATGAGACTAAAACATGCTCTTTGACAAAATAAATGCACGTAGTCGATAAATGATTCAAAAACCAAATAAACAAAAGACTTTGAGTAGCAGATGGCAAAGATTGGTAAGGAAAAAAAGTTAAGTATATCCAAAGAGTAAACACCCCCCCACCCCCCCATTGCAGAATTATTAAGGATGGGCTAAAGGAGGTTAGGGAAATTGCAGAGAATCTGAATGTAGTCTTTGTTTCTACTGAGGACAT